ACACTTAAAAATGGGGGGCCTGGCTGACAGTGTGAAGGAGGGCTCGTGAGTACTTAGTGGACAGATTGGTCTTCGAGTAAATTTAATATTAGTTGTAGTGACAGTATAAATATACAGGATAGCATATTGTTCCCTCTGCATTTTACTGAAGAAAGTGTCAATTGTGGTCTGGGTGCCTCTACCTGTAACATCTCATCCAGTTGCTTCAGGTCATCAGGAGTAAGTTCCTCCTCATGAGACATCACAAGCTCTTCCACATCCTCCTCCTCCACTTCAAGGCCCAATGACTGACCAATGGACACAATCTCCTGGTCCAACTCTGTTTCTTCCTCAAATCCCTCAAAATCATGGAATACTGATGGCCACAGTGCTTTCCATGAAGAATTGAGGGATCTAGTGGAGGCTTCTTGCCATGATGACAATCAATTTTACAGCCTCCAGGATGTTGAATTGTGTCTTCCAGAAATGTTTAAGTGTTAGTTCAGGATCATTGGAAGTTGCCTGATGACACCTCCTAAACATTTTCTTCATGTACAACTTCTTGAAGTTGCTGATCACATTCTGGTTCATTGGCTGTATGTTTGATGTAGTGTTTGGAGGCAAAAACAACACTTTCACAAAGTCAAATTGATACTCCAAATTTCTGGCAAGGTCAGGGTCATGACCAGGAGCATTATCCATGAGGAGAAGAGCCTTTAAATGGAGTTTATTGGTGGTTAGGTAGCTCTTGACAGAAGGGCAAAACACATCAACAGCCCATTCATTAAAGAGAGATCTTGTCACCCATGCCTTACGGTTGGACTTCCAATAAACTCCAAGCTTTGTTCTTACCACTTTCTGTTGCTTGAACACCCTGGGGTTTTCAGAGTGGTAGACAAGCATAGGCTTCAGTCGGAAATCCCTTGAAGCATTGGCAATAGAGTGAGACGGTAAAGAGGCTTTAAATTCATCTAAAAACTTTGCTGCCCCTTCCTTATCAGCACTAGCAGCTTCACCATGACTAACAACACTGAAAATGTCACTTCTGTTCTTAAATTTTTCGAACCAGCCTTTGCTGGCCCGAAAATCTTCAAAGTCTGTGCCTGAAGAACCAGGTTGATCTGTTTTTAAATGTTCGTAAATCTCCCTGGCTCTTTCACAAATGAATTCAGTAGAAACTGAATCACCTTTCATCTGTTTTTCCCTAATCCAGATGATAAGTAACCTCTCAGTTTCTGCAATTAGGGATCTACTTTTAAACACACTTGTAGATTTGTCTCTCACTTTCACTTCTTTAAATATGTCTTTCTGTGCAAGAATTGTCGACACAGTTGATGTCGACATGCCGCATTTGTTCTTATGCCTTGTTCATGTTTGAGGTATTATTTATTACTAAAGTTAAATATTCTGGTTTCCCCACACATCTCCTTGGGACGGTTGGTGGGGGGTGGGGCGGAGGGAGGGACCGACCGACCATCTGTTACCCTGTGAAGAATTTTTTTTTTTTTTTTTATTAACCGAAGATATTTGTTTTAGCTCATAAAATTCATACAAATTACCCGGTCAGAATATAATTTACATTGCCGGAATTCTTATAATTTTGCATTAGACATACAAATTTTAGATAAAATGTTTTCTCTAGTAAATATGTTCTCTTTTGTGCAAATTATATGACATTTATATTCAAAATATTCCTGGTCTAACAAGGAATCCAGCAATGTCAATTATATTATCCTAACTTTAATCTGAGGTATTATTTAATACAAAATGTTAAAATTTATTTTTTTCACCCACTCTTCTCTTGAAGGGAGGAGTGGTGGGGGGTGGGGGGGAGGGTTGGGACTGACCGCGCGCGCAGTTGGAAGAGGGGGAAGGCAAGGTGGGGTACTTTGATTGACAGATAGTGTCCTGAAGAATATTATTTTTTTTATTAACTGAAGATATTTGTTTTAGCTCATAAAATTCATACAAATTACCCGGCCAGAATATAATTTACATTGCTGGACATTAACTTGGCGACTGTATTTCTCTATTTCTCTTAAGTATTAATTGTGTGCATGTACCATCATAAAATTAAGATGTTATTTTTACTACAACATAGTTATGTGTCTTCAAAAAGTGGAGTTTGGGGGTCGGGCTGGTTTCTATTGGAATTAATCCCATATGTTCTGTTGTTCACTTAACGCGGGACCCTCTGGGTTCCATTGTCCGCGTTAAGTGGGGTACAACTGTATTATTATTATTATTATTAGCATTATCATTAATGTGTGTTTTTTAGTGGTAAAAACAGAGTGGAAGATTTTGAGGAATGTCCCGATTGGCCAATATGAGTTATTTCTGAGGATGAGCTATGTATATTTTGTGATGCTGAAATCCCACTTTAGGAGAAGATAAAACCCGGGTTTAGTGTTAGATTTTTCAGTGTTTCTTTTAACTGATAATTTGATTACACACTGCATTACATATACATATACATTTGATTTAGACAGTACCTAAATCAGGAGTTGTTTATTATTTTAACAATAGATAGGATGGTGCTATTGGTGCGGGCTCTTATGGGCTGAATTTTGTTGTAGTGGCGGACTGCGCAAGGTGGTTGGGGGCTGCAGGTGGCAGGAGGTGGCAATGACAAGGGTGGTGCATTATTTGGCTGCCAAACCTTTTCAGTGCTTGATGGTGGAGGTCACTGAGGGATGGCATTTCCAGGGTGGAGAGAGTGTTGATGTAGCCTGAGTATTCTGCACCTAGCATGATTCTGCAGGGTCCTTTCTGTATCTTCTCTAGCCGACATTGTTGGGTGGAGTTGAGAGAAGACGTTAGTTTGGGGAGAATAAAGATAGTCCTCAGCTCTGGCGTGGACACCTATAAGAATGCAATCTCTGAAAATGGAGAGACTGTGAATACTTGTTGAGTACAGCAAATCAGCTTTTGTGTTTTAGTCATCCGCGAGATCTAAAGAGTTGTATTTTCTCTGTGAGTGTAGTTTTGTGGTGACATTAAGGCATCATGTGGATCACACCATTCAGGAAGTAAGTACACTAGTACAGTATATGCTTATTAATGTACGATGTTAGGTTACTAAATTTTCCCTTCCTTCATATCTTTGATTTATATATAAAATTAATGTGTTTTTTATGTTTACTTTTATGTTCCTGCCTCATCAGTCATTGCTCATGCTTCACTATCAACTGTCAATGAAACTTTCAGAACTATAACAACAAGAGATATAGAAGACCGAAAGCAGCATCACTGATGAGGGCCGAGTTAGCTGGTGATTTTTACGAGCCCTTCCGCGGTCACCCAGTAGATGAAGAACATCTAGTCAGTGCTTCTGCAAGCTCATCTTCAAGTACCTGCCTGTGATGCATCAGGGGGAAATGACCAGATTGCCGAGGAGATTGAAATTGAATCAAAGCATGTGCCTCCTGCAGTGCAAATGGCAACTACATATATTTATGACATTGACATAAGGTTATGGTCAGAACATTTGACGACAAAACAATTTATTGATAGGATATTTGTAGGAAATGTTATTTTTATTATTATGACAATTAACAAAAACCCACCAACCCACCCCCTCCAACTACCATCACCACCACCAACCCACCCCCTCCAACCACCATCACCACCACCAACCCACCCCCTCTAACCACCATCACCACCTTCCCCACCACCAACACACCACCCTCCCATCCCCTCCAACCACCATCACCACCACCCTCCCCACCACCAACCCACCCCCATCCCACCACCACCCACACCACCATCACCACCACCTACCCACCCGCCTCCCACCCTTCCAACCACCACCAACCCTTTTCTACTGCTATATGTATTTGAGAACTAATGCATGTGTATTTTCAGCTGTGGTATTGATTGGGTGGAGGACTCTGCGGTGAAATGGACGTCATCAATTACTCAAAAGTAGTAGTTGTTAATAAGTTGTGTGTGTGTGTGAGGAGAATATCATGTCGGAACTGAAACTACATGATTGGATGTTTGTACGTAAAACCAAATTTGATGCACCAACCCACCCCCTCCAACCACCCTCCCCCCCACCAACCCCCCCTCCACCCCCTCTCCCACCACCAACCCACCCCCACCACCAACCCACCACCACCAACCCACCCCACCACCAACCCACCCTCCTACCATGATCACCACCCTCCCCACCACCAACCCAGCCCCTCCAACCACCATCATCACCACCACCAACCCACCCCCTCCTACCATGATCACCACCACCCTCCCCCCCACCAACCCACCCCCTCCAACCACCATCACCACCACCCTCCCCACCACCAACCCACCCCCTCCAACCACCACCCTGTCCACCACCACCTGTCCATCATGGTAGGAGGGGGTGGGTTGGTGGTGGGGAGGGTGGTTGTAGGGGGGTGGGTTGGTGGTGGGGAGGGTGGTTGGAGGCGGTGGGTTGGTGGTGGGGAGGGTGGTGGTGATGGTGGTTGGAGGGGGTGGGTTGGTGCATCAAATTTGGTTTTACGTACAAACATCCACTTGGCTTCTAGAGACGTATCCCCAAGTTTCACTGGGCCGTAAGGCTTATGGTACCTACTTTGCAGCTTAAACAAATATATTAATATGGGTTAGTATTATATTAAGTGTTTCTCTAACGTCTAACCAGTAATTTATTAACGTTTTAAAATTTTTAGGCAAATATACCGCCAAATGAGCCATAACAACCGAGCCGAAACTATAAACCGGTGGCGAGTAACAAGCGTAAACCGCACATCAGTATTTGCGTTATAATTAACCAGTAAGTGAGTGCAATGACGAGATTGGGTGAAATTATTGTATTTATTTTTTTAATTTCACATTTTCCCTCTTGCTTCGAAGCCCAGCCCGCTTTTGGCGGAGCCGGGTGGTCATAACTCAATAGTTACGCATTTCTTCTAACGTTCATCACCAAAATATAACTCTGTGGAATTACGATACAATTTTTTTCACTGGCTTTTAGCCGGGCGAAGCGAGGCATGCTAGGCGAGGCAGGCAAGAAGCCAGACAGGAAGCGAAGCGAGGCGAGTTGAGGTAGGGAGCCGGGCGAGGCAAGGGAGCCGGCGGAGGGCGAGGTTAAGGGGTTTTAGAATATTTGTACAACCAAAAAGCACCAAAACTAAACTAATGTAGTGGACGTCTCCCCTACAAACTGCGTATCGCATTCCAATGTGCCGCCTTCCCTAGCAACCAACCAGATGTTACCGTATCTTAGCAACGGAACCAGTCACCGGCGACTTTCTGGGTTTTCCCAACATGACTCATGGCGGCTGCTGCTGGGTATATAAGCTCTGTCTCTCCATTGAGATTGATTCTGACCATTCTTCTTCAACAAGCAACACCTCCTCCTCCGCCGCTGCCAGGCTCCCTTCGCCTGCCTGGCGATTCTGCCCATCTTCCTGAACAAGCAACACTTCCTCCAGCAAACTCCACGCTGTTAACATTTATTTCAACCAGCAAGCAACAGGCAACATCTTCTCTAACGAAGCTCCTGTATATAAAGACACCGTTAAAATTTATTGGTAAATAAGGCAGTAACCATCTAATTAACCTCTGGAAAATGTTAAAATGTTTGGCTCGCCTGAATATGCATCCCCCAGCTTATTTCAACTAAAGATCAATTTAACCTGAGCCAATCTACGTATTTCAATGTGTTGGCGAATCTTTCTTTTTCAGATCAAGGAATGACTACATATTCAATTACAGTACAAAACCCTCTGTTATTGGTGTGGTGCAGTATGTGGTCATGTCATGGTCACGTTGACTGCTGATCTATTTAACTAATGATTCTTATTAAACTCCACGCCCGCATAACATGAGTGAGTCCGCGACCCCTAGAAGGAGCGTGTTTACCCCCGCGATCTCTCCCTGTAAGCCCCGCCTTTGTGAAGACAGTTATCAATACGTTGTTTATTCCACTCTCTCCTGGGAAGCTCAATCTTGAATTAGTAATTCGCCAGACCTTTGTCAACTGAGGGTCATCTTTGAATGAGTAACAGTTAGTTTGTGATTATTGACATTGCGTGAGTAGCGATCACTGGCAACTCGGGTATATAAACTCAAGATGGCCAGGGAGAGTGTCCCCTGATGCTGATTCCCGGTTGTTTCCAGATCCCATTGTGATTCTTGAATCGCTCTACCATCCAACAACGGCCTCGGATGTATTAGATGTCCAGCCGGGATCATATATGAGAAGATGGCACCGATGCAGCCTGATTAATGTGCCCCATGTAACATGTATGTTAGGGATAATTAGATGGAAATAATTATCCCAGGTTGGGTAGTGGACCCCTGTATATACTAGTGTCATTGTTTACGTATATGTTGAATAATCTACAATGAGTGCCATGTAATGTACCACCAGTAATGTTGTGAGTAAGAGTAAAGAAGAAGGAACTGAGTTTGCACTAAGCCCAGGAGTTGAGCCTGGTAATTATATGATCAATACAATATCTTTTCCCATTGATTGCACGTTAATAAACTTGTTTTTAGAGTATTTTAGGTGTATTCATTTCTCCCACAGTATTTTACCTTTATTTCCACCCAAGTGACGTGATACCAAGATTACCATACTCACGTGCCTAGAACCTCGACCATGCTACCAAAAGAATGTCCATGCTACCCTAGAATAGGTGACAGAACTGAGTAAGAGTAAGAACTAAGAGAAGTAAGTAAGATGAGGGAGGTGTAGAAAAAGAGAGGGAACCGGCCCCCTCACATTGGTGGCAGCCCAAGAACCCGCCCCCTCACAGTCAGTGTGGTGCAGTATGAGGACACAAGTGAAGTGTGGTGCAGTATGTGGGGACAACAGACCACGAGTGAAGCTTCTCACAATACACAACGGTGTTCCTTCAGATCAATTTTAACGTTTTGTATGAGGGTGTGGGTGTGCGTAGCTTGCTATGGTGTCATTTAATGTTTGGTGGATGTTGCTTCCTGTGGTGTCGTTTAATGTTTTGTGAGGGTGCGGGGTGTTGACACTTAAGGGGGCATGAGGGAGGGAAGGTCTAGTCAGCTGTAATAAACCTTGTGTATTAGCAAGTTTAATTTTCATTGTACGTAAATTACAACTTTAAACACGTTGCAGGTAACTGCTGATGTACGTGAAGGCCAATGGAGAAGTGACAGAACCTTGAGCAAGATTTAACAGCATGTTACTTCAGCCTCATCAGTTAAGTTACTTGTACAGTATATCTTAGCTAGTATCTTTATCCAATAAACCACTCGACAATGCTCCTACACTGGGCAGTGGAGGGTGTGTGTGTGGGGGGTGGGGGCGCCTAATAGGTCTGTGTGTAGACCTAGTGATCAGTGTGTGGGGCCTGGCGGACACTCTTGGAGGACTGTGTTGGAGGGCTATGGAGGACGATCTGTAGACAGACTGATATTAGAGTAAAATTAATATTAGCTGTAGTGACAGTATAAATATACAGAACTGTATGCCTATTGATTATTAGTGAAAATTAGTAGTAGTAGTAAACATAGTAAATTAAGCAAGTTGTTGTGGGTGGGTTTCAACTAACTTTACTAACCATAACCTAACCTAAGATAAACTATTCCAACTTACGTTAACTGATCATAAATTCATCATGTTGTCTAGTGGTAGATGGATATTGTATGTTTAACATTCATTCAACATAAATGGCAACTTTAAACATGTTGCAGGTGACAGCTGATGTGTGTGAAGGCCAATGGAGAAGTGACAGAACCTTGAGCAACATTTAACACCCAGCATGTTACTTCAGCCTCATGAGTTAAGTTACTTATATATATCTTGGCTATTATGGTCATCCCATAAACTACTCAACACCGTGAAGGGTGTGTGTGGGGCCTGGCTGACTGTGTGAAGGAGGGCTCGTGAGTACTTAGTGGACAGATTGGTCTTCGAGTAAATTTAATATTAGTTGTAGTGACAGTATAAATATACAGGAGTAGTATATATAGGATATAGTAGTGGTAGTAGTAGTAGTATAGTAGTTAATACAGCAAGTAAAGCAAGTTGTTGTGGGTGGGTTCCAACTAATTTTACTAACCTAACTTAACCAGCCTAAGTTAATTAAACATAATAATATTTCACAGTATACAGTAATGTACAATCTTTGTCGTCAGTAATGAGTACAAATAATTTGTAACTGCAAAGATTTTTTTCAAGAGTTAAGTAAGAACTAACAATTGATTTACAGACATTGAGTGGGCAGTGTTCATCTCTGAGTGTCACCAGAGTTGAGGGGTGCAGTATAGTCTGCATTTACGCGGTCAATTGAACCCATGGAGGTCCGCATAAACGAAATAACAGAACATATGGGATTAATTGAAATAGAGACTGGGCTGACCCCCAAACTCCGACACAATACTTACGTTGTAGTAAAAATAACATCTTAATTTTATGATGGCTGGGCACACGGGGATGGGGGGTTGGTTCCGAGGCAGAGGGCAGATTATTGGCACTTGCCTGTATTACTATCCACCACAGAGGCTTGGAGGGTCTTTTTGTCAAACCCCTCACAGTCCATATCCTCACTCTTTGCGAGGGTAACCTTAATTGTAAACTAATTAGAAAGAGTTTTAGTTCGGAATCAATTTGTGACAACTGAACTTATTGATATAACACAAGTTTTGTGTTAAATTTTTCAGTGTGGTATTTTCAAATAATTTTTTAACTGAGAATTTTATTACGTACTGCATTCCAATTTCTTAGTGTAGACTGATATGCATTGTTAGTAAAGAAGATATATGTATTTGAGAACTAATTCCGGTGTTGAGGACTCTGTGGTGATATGGACATCTATAACAAGGCAATCTCTGAAAATGGATTGTTGGAAATACCACCAACATATGAACCAGCACAGAAACCGTGAATAAAAAATGGAAAAGTCAAAGAACACATGTCATCACAAAAATTGTGACCATGTCCCAGGTTGCTGATCTGACTTTCTACCTCATTTACACACAATTGCAGGGTCTCAACATATATTGTTTCTCAATCTTGATTTTTTTTTAATTTTTGCATTTATTTACGGTTCTTTATTACTACAGTATTACCCCGCCTAACGCGGTTTCACTTAACACGTTTTACCATATACGCGGTGCCTCGCCAGAGCTGAACTTTCACTTAACGAGGATTTTTTCCACATATACGCGGTGAGTGTCCGGCTCGAGACGCTACTTTTAGATTTGCCCCACCCGCCACCCTGCATTGGTGATGAAAGCATTATAAAAGCCAATGCTGTTGCATTAATTTCTTCTGTTTCTTTCAGAACTATAACAACAACAGATATAGAAGACCGGAAGCATCATCAATGATGAGGGCCTAGTTAGCTTCTCTAAGCTCATCTTCAAGTACCTGCATGTGATGCATCAGAGGGAAATGACCAGATTGCCGAGGAGATTGAAATTGAATCAAAGCATGTGCCTCCTGCAGTGCAAATGGCAACTACCGTATATCGCGGCCTATAAGGCCCCCCGAAATTTCCATTTAAAAAGTAGCTTTTGAGCTCTATTTGCTGTATAAGACCAGAACCCCAAATGTGACAATTACCCACTGACTCAGTAGTCCTTTACACACCCTCCTTGGTTTTTTAAAATAAGGCCAATTCACTTCAAGTAATGTCATCAAATATTACCCGCTGGTGTAGTGTAAACACTGAAGCGTCTGCTATTTACCGGTAACTGGAACTAATGTCGGTGCCGAGTAAAATTTTTCCATTTACTTGAAATAGATTTACCGATTTATTTGTTTATTTATTTATTTATAATATACTGTAACACACTGCAAGTATTTTCTTTCATTTATACGCTTGCTTCGCACCTGAATATACTATGTACAAAAAATGAATGTTCAATGAATTATTTATGGTGCATTAGGGTACTGGCCACCTCAGACACAAAGACGGGCTATAAATAGCCTTGTTATCTACCCCTACATCTTACCCTGAGCCAGAGGGAAGTGTCTTGGTAAATAACATTTGTTTGCTTATTTTCCATTTACTTGAAATAGATTTACCGAATTATTTGTTTATTTATAATATACTGTAATATATTAAACACACTGTAATTATTTTCTTTAATTTATAAACTGTTTTGCGACAAAGGAATGTTCTCCGGTACTTACTACATACATTTATTACACAAACATATTTATATATACCTGTATATATATATGTATATATATATATATATATATATATATATATATATATATATATATATATATATTATATATATATATATATATATAATATATATATATATATATATATATATAATATATAATATATATAATATCACATACTGTACATCCCGTAGCTTCTCTGTCACGTGCCCACGCCTCTCTGGGCGTGCATGCTCCCGCCCCACGTCCTGCAGCCTCTGGGCACTTGCCACTT